ACACATTTATGGCGCATAGTTACATAATAATATGTCGACAACTTACTTTGCGGAAATCAAAACTCGATCTTCGAAATATTCTAACCAACTCATTCTGCTTTTGTTTGGTTCTTTTCTTTTTTGTTTTGTTTTTTGCCTCCACAATACTTGTCGCCGTCATCGTTTGCGTCGAAAATTTATTACTTACGACAGTTTTGTACATTGCAATTTCAGTCTTATTATTTACATATGTACATATGTATGTATATATGTACATGCTCATGTTTCATGTATTTATGTGATTATGATATGCGCACTTTATTAGCGCGCTCTTAAGAAGTTTATTAAGAGTGGAAATGCTTGCTAATGATCTATATCCGCTTGGGGGAATTCAAATTCTAAGTAATTAGCTTTTAATGAGCCAACTATGGTTTCATAGATTCTTTGAGCTGGCTTGTGTAAGCTCCTCCTCCATTTTGTGGTTTTACGACTTGATATTTTTGCAACACATGGAGGGTCCTACAGTTAATTCTAAGTCGCCTCTTGCCTTTATTTCATTTCAGAAATACACTCGGAGAGTTTGACATTCTCTGTCGAGCGCAATTAGAAGGAGTATTTTTTTTAATTTTGGATGTTGAACGAACCAGGGTTCGAGCCTGGGCCTTTCGAAAGCAGTATGGAATGCGACCGCTGCAATGTTGACTTAGTTTGTTTAGGTACACTTAAGTAATGGGAAAAGATTTTACTTTTACCGTATCAGATATCTCAAGCCTTCGTTTCAAAGTCATTCGCTAGATGAAGTTGATTGGCGGAGCCATTAAACTACTCAACGGCGTCCGCTGTAAGAAAAACCTCTCGCACTTTTGATCAAACAAACAACCCTCCATGGAATAATGCCAGCTTAATTTAAATGGTGAGGTTCAAATAAGATTGGACGTTCATTCCAAGCATACTAGCTAGTGAATGTTTGAAGTCAAAATATTTTTTTTTATTTTTTCGACGAACGTAGCATGACCTACCTCCCTCCCAAGCCAGGCACCAGCGCATTATCCAACAAATCGGTGGTCCGAATAGCAGTAAAGGATCGAATTGAGAGTTTGGCCATATGGGTGTAGCTCGTAGTAGATGATTCTTTGCCAATCCCACCATAAACAGAGCAAAACTTTCCCGGTCATCAATCCGGTCTTGGCCACCGTCTGGGCAGCTTCCCCGAGCTTCGCCCACGACCGTTTGCGCTCGATGTTGTCCTAAGGGGCCTAGTTTTCATCGCTAGTCAAAATCCATTACAGAAATGGGTCGATTTTGTTGCGATGCAGCAGCGATTCGCAGACGGAAATTCGGTCCTTCATGTTTTTCTGCGTTAGTTCGTGTGGCATCCAAACATCGAGCTTCTTTTTGAATCCAAGGTTATGCAAATGGTTCCAACCGGTTTTCAGGTTATCTGTAGTTCCTTAGCAATTGGAATAAGCACTCACCTGACGGTCTGTTTCCACTATTTCCATGATTTTATCGCAATTTTCAACGACATTCGTCGACACGTTCGTTCGGACGTTTACAGTATCGGGCCCATAAACTAAATTATTTAATTATTTCAGCCGCTTTGGCTGCTTTTTCACCTTGATCGAAGAAAAATTCTAAAATTTAGCGAATTTTCTGTAGTCTCGCCGTTGACGTTTTCAAGGAAGTAAGGTTCAATCACACCTCCGGACCAAAGAGCCCAACAGGCAGTAAGTTTTTTGGTTGTAATGCCTTTTGGTCGATTATTTGAGGGGCTCCAAATGCGTAAATTTTACTAATTTATGTATTTTCGAAAATTCGGCGTCCACTGCTTGTTGTTAAAGTAACCAATATCAGCTAGCTCCAGTTTTGATGTGAGATGGACTTTATTTGGACGTAGGTGTGAGTCCAAGTGTAAAATATGCCATAATGGACCATAAGAAAGTCCCAGCTCTTGAGAATGTCGAATATAAACACAATCGGGTCTTCGGTTACACTTTCACTCACAGTAGCGGCTTTTAGGTATTAGAATATTATATATTAAGGCCTTCAAAACTATAACAGTTTGTTTCTCGAAGTAGGGCTTATTTGAGCTTTGAAATCTTCAGTGATATTCCCGATAAGTCAAATAATTATACAATAATAATAATATATAATAAAATAATAAATAAATTATGTAAAGGTATTGTGGTTTACGCTTCAAGAACATTGAGAAATATTGAAAATTAACTTGAAAAATGGTGAGTTCTCAACTGTGGCTATAAGAAATTGAAGCACGTAATTCGGGTAAAATAATTTGCTTGCAGACAGTCAGTGTAGCAATTTGTACAGGGAGTTCGAGAAATAAGCTCGTCAAGTGGCACAAAAAAAACTCACTTAGTTCAATTGGCGGGAAATCGCTTGGCAGAAGATAAAGCACATTTTCATTTCAGTGGCTGCGTTCGTAAACAAAATTTACGCATTTGAGGCACAAAAAACCCAAATGTGACCATGGAAAATCTAATGCATTCATAAATAGTGGCAGTTCGGAGCGCCATGTGGGCCGGCGGCATCGTTGGTCCGTTTTCCATTGAAAACAACGAAGAAGCTGCTGTTCATGCTGTATCATGCAGTTTCGCCAGATAGGGTTAGTTAGCATCCCATCTTTCCCTTCCCTGGCCATGTTTCTTGCCGGCCTATTATTTTTATGAAAATTAAATCTGAAATCAAAAATTATCCCCTTTCGTTTCTAAATTATTGTTTACTCTTAATATAAATGAGGCTATGGTGGTGAAAAAAAAATTTTTTTCTCGTCTTAATTATGCCAGCGTTATGGCGGAGCCTGCACGGTGCATGCTACTTCAGAGAAAAAAATTTCAATACTCGTGCCATGCTCAGAGCTTATTTCAAAAGTGGAACGTTGTGTGATTCCTACAGGATGGCACGCGCTGCTACCCAGCCGACGTTACTATTGATACTTTGCGGCTTGGGGTTCAAGAATTTACCCGCGGTAAGGCATGTCTATCGTAAGAAGAGACTTAAACCCAATAGTTCCCACGACAGTCGGGTCTTTATACCGGAACGACACGGATTTTTATCCGACCAAAGGTTATCACTACCGCAACATCCGCCAAAAAGTGCTTTGGGGGATATTTTTGTGGTTACAACAACAACATTGATATTTTGGGTGCTTTGTGCGAAAATCGACGAAGTCAACTGGTCACCATGCAGCCACGATTTGACTGTGTTGGACTATTTTCTATAGGAAGTCGTTAAGGATTAAGGTGCCATGCCAACCATCTAGCGATGTTTACTGACTTTGCAGTTTTAGATGAAAAAAATTTGTTGAAAAGTGTGGTGGACAGACAGAATAAAATGGGATATTGCAAGCTCAGACTCGGTAGTCATATGAATGAAATTGTTTCCCTTTACTTACTGGATTACTGTGAAATTTCAGTAGAGATAACACTTTCACCTTTAACTTTTATTCCAGGTGTATATATATATATATTCAACCTGCTGCCCAAACGTCGTACGCCACCCACAAATTATTCCATGTATAAAAGAAATAACACTTAATTTTTTTTAATTTTTCTTCAAAAAGGCTTTGTTTTGTTTTGTTTTATTTTCTTTACTTATATTTAATATCATTTTATTTGTTTTTGTTTTTTTTTTGTTTTATTTTTTAGGTTTTCTCTTTGAAATTCTCATGTGCACGACTCGTTTGCTCTTGCCTTATGTATTAATAATATAACTATGTAGGTATTTTTGTATGTATGTTATTCATTTTTGTTTATAGCTAAATAAGTAGGTGTGTAGATGTACATGGTTTTATTTAAATAATTTTAGTGCTAAGAATAAATTATAATTTTTATATTTTTCATTTTTGTTTTATATTTATTTGCTTACTTACATACGTACATATTATGTTATATAATGGATTTATGTGTTAATCTTTGATTAGTGCCAAATGGTGTTGGCTTTATAATACAATATAAATTACTATATAACCACCTTCAATAGTGTAGTGCTTTTTTAATTATAATTAGCGTGTCTACATTAATACAATATATTTATGTACAATTAAATGACGTTACCAACTAACTATTCATATGTGTTTCTATTTACATGAAATTTATATGGTAAGGGGATTTTTTGTATTTCATTCTTTTTAAATATGTTTGGTTGTGTTTACTGACTTTTCGATTCACTATTTTTGTCATAACTTTTCAGCATTATTTTTGTAATAATTTGTATTTACTTTTTTTTAGTAGGAAATATTTTCCAAGTATTTTTTGTAAACAAAGCTTTATATTTGCGCGTTAATTTATTTATGCTTACATACATAAAAATGTTGTGGTAATGTGTGTGGTGCTTTACTTTTGGATTTTTAAGTATATTTTTACTTGCGATTTCTTGTTAATTAATTTACTGTATGTCTGAGGCTGGATATTTAAGAATATTTTTTAATAAAATTTAGCAATTTTGATCAAACCAAAAGCAAAAAATAATAATCAAAGAGAAATGCAAGTTTATTGAATTAAAATTTAATAAACAAAATTAACAAACTTGTTTTGTAAAGTAATTAAGAAGGCAGGAAAAGATAAAACATGTTAAAAATTAAAAAAAATAAAATTAATAAGAATGTTGGAAAAAGTTAAGTGAATGAATAGTTAAAAAAAAATTGTATTTAATTAAAGTTTCATTATTTTTCCGAAAAATTAAATAATATGTATTAACATTGTAAGGTACAAAAACAGAGACATTTTAAAAATTAAAAAATAAAATAATATCGCAAAACAATATTATAAAAATTTACGAGCACAAAAAATTCAGAAAAAAAATAAATAATGAAAATAATATTGTATTTTAAAGAAAAAATTTCAATAACAAAAGTTTTAATTTTAAGAAAAAAAATATTTAACAAGATTTGCCAATTGTGTATATAGAATTTAATTACATCCTAACAATTCCATGGAAATTTTTTAATTTTTTTTATATTTAAATTTTTTTTTATAATATTTGTGCTATACATGATATATTTTTTTTCATTTTACTTAAAATTACTATTTCTTTTTTTTTTTTTTTGTATATTTACAGTTATAATGTAAAATGCGCTAACATCACAGCAATTTGGGTAAAACTACGAATATGGAGTTCTTAAATTAAACTATAACTCAACTAATGAAAAGAAATGTATTATACATATACGAACTGAAATTAGCTCTTTGTTCGTAGAAACAGCAAGATGACTTTGTTTAAAAGAAGTTCTTTTACTTTGGGTGCTTCTGCGCTTTATCCTAAATGCATTAGACTCGGATGAAAGTAGCCGGCCATTGCCCATTGCGCACCCGGTCCGCCTCGTCCCAGCGCTGCCATTTTGATTTTCTCAATTTCGGCTTCTTGTAATCGTTTCGCTTTGGCGCGTCGATTTTGAAACCAGATTTTCACTTGTGTCTCGGTCAAACGCAGTGATGAGGAGAATTCAGCACGTTCGGCTATGCTTAAATATTGTTTTTCACGGAATTTCTTCTCCAACGACAACAATTGTTGTGTCGTGAAGGGTGTACGTGGCTTGCGATTCGGTTTGTGTTTGCGCAAATTGCATTTAATGCGGGGCGGTTCGTTGTTATCTGAAGAGAGAGAGAGAGAGAGAAAAAAAAAAGAAAATTAGGAAAAAAGTTTAAAATAAAAATAAAAAAAAAATTGATGATAGCAATACGAAGATATTTAATTGTTTGGTGGGGATTGAGAATCCATTCTCATTCTTTTTCAATTAGTTATATTTTATTTTTTCTTTTATTTTTTATTTTATTACACTATATTTTATTATAATGCTTCGAGATCAGTTTATTTTATTCAATTTAATTGAATTATATTTTATTTTATTTCACTTATATATTATTTAATTTTTAATTTTTTTCATTTTTTTTTTTACTCAATTCCTTTCAATTTATTTTTTTGCTTTTGTTTACATTTATTTTATTTATTTTTTATTTTTATTTCATTTTATTTTTTTATTACATTTATCTTAGATATATTATTTTTGATTTATATCATTTTATTTTATATCTTAATTTTTTTTATCCAGTTTTATTTTATTTTATTCAGTTTAATTTAATTTAATTTTATGTTATTTAGCTTAAATTAATTAAATTTTTTTTATTCAGTTTAATTTAGTTTAATATTATTTAGCTTAAATTAATTAAATTTTATTTTATTCAGTTTAATTTAATTTAATTAACCTTGGTTTTAATTATGTTAATTTAAGTTAATTAAGTCTAATATAATTTTATTATATTTTATTAAAGTTTAAATTAATTATTTTATAATATTTTTTTTTATTTCACATTATTAGTTTTTTACTTTATTTAATTTATGTTGTTTAATTTTATTTAGTTTTATTTAATTTATATTGGTTTTAATAACGTTAAATTAAGTTAATTTAGTTTATTACAATTTTATTATATTTTGTTTTCTATTATTTTTTTTTAATTTCATTATATTAATATTTTATTTTATTTAAATTTATGTTGTCTTTTTTATTTTATTTAGCATAATTTTCTTTACCTTTATTTTATTTCGTTTAACTTAAATTATTTTATTTATTTATTTTTTATTTAAGTAAATTTTATTTAATCTTGTTTGATTCTATTTAATTTTACTTAATTTTATGTATATTGAATTATATTATTTTATTTCATTTTATTCTTCTTTATTTTGTTTTATTTCATTTCATTTTATTTAATGCCAATTAAATTAAATTAATTTAATTGTTTAAAGTTTTACTTTATTTAGTTTTTTTCATTTTCATTTATAAATATATTTATTTGTTTTACTTAAATTGAGTTACATATTTTGTATGGCAACTCATTTAATCGCCAATCTCAACTCAGCGCAGTTCATTGATCTTTCCAAAAAGAATGAAAACAAAACTTTAAACCCTCAACCCACCTTAATTTGAAACCAAATGCAATTAACAATAAAAATCGACAAAATTGAATGCAAATTGCTCCAACACTTTGCATAAATTTTCTGCTGCAACAAAAATACTTAAATATATAATAGACGTACAGTTTTTTTTCTTTAAAAGGTGCACAACAACTAAAACTGTCAACTACACTTATGGTTTTGTATTATTTGTAAAAAATTTTAATGAAAAATAAAACACGAAAATCGCTTAACAAATGAGCGCTGTCAACACTTGACATTCACAAGCATACACACATATGTACAACTACAAACAATTTATTCGAAACAATACTAAAAATAAGCAATCAATTACAACAGTGGCAGTCAACAGCCAGCAAAATAGCGACGACAGATATATTTATAAAAGCAACTAAAGCTGACGGTGACTACGAGTATATACTTGTGGAAATGAATAACCAAACAACTGAACGACAGACCGCAGGACAGGTAGCCGCTCAGCCGGACGGACGGACAGACGGACAGTTGTCAATTAAACACAAATAAATACTTTCGCTAATTAAATATAAATTCAATTAAAACGATACGTTTACTGGTTGGATTACTCTTGGAATTGTTGGTATTTGACTGTTGTTGTTGTTGTTGTTGTTGCTATTGCCATTGTTGTTCACTAGTTTGTAGTTATTTATTTAGCAAAATTACATTTTTCTCGTTGCTTTCATTGTTGGCACGAGCAATGCCCAAACAAGCACACACACACACACAAACATGATTTGCCTGCAAATATAAAAGGGGGCAACATAGATATTTGCATCTAATTGAAAATCAATTAGGCAATCGCTTGTAAACGGCAATGCGACGATGACAACTTGGCTCAAGCTGTACTGACAACATAATGTAATATAAATAAATTAAATCAAATCTAATTAAAAGCAACAAAACAATATGAAATACAAAAATTAAAGATAAATTACAATTTTCTGCAATAAAAAATTAAAAAAGGGAAATTAAATAAAATTGAACAAATTTAATTTGTTAATTAAATTATAGAAAGCAAAAAAACATATAAAATGGACTAAAATAAAACAAATAAAACAAAATAAAAATAATAAAATAAAAATAAATAAAACAAAATAAATAATAATAAATTAAAACATAACAAAAGTGAAGTAAAAGCAAATCAAACAGAATAAATATAATAAAATAAAATAAAATAAAATAAAATAAAATAAAATAAAATAAAATAAAATAAAATAAAATAAAATAAAATAAAATAAAATAAAATAAAATAACATAAAATGAAATAAGATTAAAAAGAAATATAATATAATTAAATGTAATAATAATATTAACAATTAAATTAAATAAAGAAAGTATTAAATTAAGTAGGTAATTATAATTAGTAAATAATCAAAATAGAAGCAATTAATAAATGAATAATAAATAAGGAAATATCAATTTAAACGAATTAAAATAAAATGCAATAATCTAAAATATAAATATTTAATTTATTTAAATAAAATTAGGATTAAAAACTTTCTCATTTCAACACCCGTGCGTATGAGTAATACAAATAAATGTCTGGCGGCGCAACAAAAAAGGTGCTGAAAGCAAAAGCCAAATGCAGGAGTGCTCGCTCACACTGCTTCTTTTTTATATGCGGCGACGGTCTTTTTTGCCTTTTGTTTTTGCACAAACAACACTTAGTAGCTATTTAAGTGGCCAATAAATTTGCTGTCCAAATCATTTGTCACACGATGGGCTGAGTGACATACACGAAAACTCACTATCTATGGTACAATATAAAAGCGCAAACAAAGGCTGCGCGTGTAGACAGACATTTGGGTAGCAAATACAAGCGATTTGTAAAGAAAATAAGCCACAAAAAACTTTAGGATGAAAAAATTCAAAGAAAAAAACGTTAAGAAAACATTGCGAAATTTTAATTTGAGATTTCAAAAAAAAAAAAAAATTTCAAAAAATACAAACGCCTGAGTGGCAAAGGCGTTCTTTGGTGCACTTGTATCCTTTGTGTTGTATGTAAATAAATATGTATGTGACATTGATTTCGGGACAACAATGTGTGGCATGCCCATATTGGCGTGGCATTTTAATGTTTTTAATGAAAATGCAATGCCAGCAAATGCAGCGTGCTAAATGATGCTCAACCAACGTATTTGTATGTAAGAGAGTATGTGCACAAGTGGAAAAGGTCATTGTGGATGCTGCTTACCGCTGATGGTTGATTGTAATTTTCTTGCAAAACCACAAAGATGCGACAGGAATGCGCTGTGGCATGCAGCAAATGGGGTCGCAAGTAAATAATGCGCATATGTATGTATGTAGAAGTGCAAGTTAAGGCTGTCTATATTAAAATTCACTCTTATATGAATGTAAATATATTTGTGAGTGTATTCCCAAAAAAGGGAGCTCTTTTAATTACTTTGGGGCACACATATTGTACAGTTATTAATTGGCATATTTGTTTTCTCACAATTTTTTTTGATAAATAAATTTTAAATTTGCTCTAAATGATTTTTGAAATGTTTTAAAGTGTTATTTAATTATGAAATTAAAAACGAAATAGTAAAAATGTTTTCTACGGATTTTTTATATTATTTTTCAAAAAATAATTGATATATTTGTTTTATGTTATATATATATCTGTGTGCGTACATAATAAGCATAAAGATTTTATTAAATATTATAAAACAAAAACAAAAACTACGCACGCGCCACAAAAACGCTCTTTCACAAAAAACAAAAACAAAAAAAAACGACAACAACATCAGTCATTGTTTTTCAACAAAAACTACAAAAACCAAAAAAAAAACTAAAGACTCTACCACACCCAATAAATCAAGTGTAAAGTCAAGTGAAAATGAGGAGGAACATTTTAATTTTATGCACAATTTCGTTGTTTGAATGCGTGGCATAGCGGTAATTGTAATTGTTTAGTGTTTTCTGTTTCTTCGACTCTCTTAATTTCCATTGTATATTTTTTTCGTGTGCTACGGTTTGACTTTTGGGGTATGTGCTTTCAATTTGCAGGTTGTTTTTTGGCAAAAGCATTTTTACACTTAAAAAAATTTATTTTCAAATTTTTATTTAATTTTTTTTTTTGAAGTTATAAATTCATTGATGATTTTTTTTACTTTTAAGCTGTTTTTTTGGTTTGAAAAAAAAAAAACATTTGTTTCAAAACTAATTTTTCGAATATGTATTAGAGAAACTATGATTACTATTTATGGTTGGTTTTCAAAACTTATTTAAAATTAATTTTTTTTCTTAAACTCTATATAATTTTTTCGCAAATTTTTTTCGGAATTTTTCACAAAATTTTGCAATTTTCCAATTTTACACACAAACCCTTACTCATATTTTAAGTTATCTTCTATTATTATTTATTATTAAACATTATTATTAAATGGTATTATTAGAAAATTTTGTTATTTCATAATTTAATTATAATATTCAACAAAAACAGTTTTTTTTACTACTCATTATATGAAATTTTTTCCAAATTTTCTAACTAAATATATAACTTTAAAACTTTTTTTATTATTATTTTTCCATTATTTTTTTTATTAATATTTTTTTATTAAAAAAGTCTGATAACATCAAATTTAATTTTAATTTCACCAAATTTTAATTTTAGCGTAATTTTTCTTCAAGTGTACTTTTAATTTTTTATCATATTTAT